AACAGCAACCCAGTTTATGGGGTTGCATGAATGTTAGTTTGGCGGTGGTTACAGACAGTGCCAGGTGGCGTCCTGAGCATCGGCAGCTTCGGTAACAAAGGGCCAGCTCAGAATGCCGGAGTGCGACAAGGGTGGCATGTGAGCCTCTATGAGCTTCTCGGCCTGGCTGCAGGAGGATAGCATGGGATAGCGTAAGCTACTACCAATACCGAGCGCATGGGGTTTTCCAATGCTTTCCACAAAAAGGTAAGCCCAAAATACAACAACTCTTATGAAAGGGACCGCCCCACAAAAGGTTTCCTCATCTACAGCAACCTCGGCTTCAGCATGGTCTTGGGTCGTTCAGGGTTTAGAATTCCTAAGGTTCCAGATGTTGCTCGCATGTTCGGAATACTGTAACACTGAACCCCAAACCCTATGTACAGTAGCAGTTTCCATTCTCTTGTCCGTTAGCCCTACATAATCCCTAAACAAGCCTAAGCCCCGACCGCAAGTTCACCTCTACCTATTCATTCGCTGAAGCCTCAAGCCCAGAAATGAAATTCTTTGAACCCATCCGAGGGTCTCAGAAGATCGAGTATCTCCCCAAGACTATCCCAAAGCTATAACCACATTGTAGCTTTCATCTTAAGCGAATTGTGGAAGCCCCTAAACCCTCACCAAGGACCTTCAACCTAGAGGAGAACAAGGACAAGCTCGGAGATCTCACCCCGCAACAGGCAACACTTCACCAAGGTTTCAACGAGAGGATTCGAGGCTAAGGGAAAGTGCAGATGGAAATGGAGCATGAAATGGAAACTGGTTGTATAGTTGTGTATAGGGGCTGTAGGTGGCAAGAACCCCAGATGATAACAGGCAACATCCCACAGTGTCTTACCGTGGTGGCCATCTAGATACAAATCTTTTAATGTGACCACCTAGGCCCCTATATCATGTGCCCCCGCCACGTCCTACAAAGAGCCACCTCCATACCTACAATCTCTAGCGAGCACTCTTCCATACTCCTCTTGTGACTCCTTCATATCCGAAGAGTCTCCGGTGCACCCCTGCTTCGAGAGATGCAAATCTGTGCATATCCTTAAATATGTCACTTCGAGGATCCAAAAATCGGAGGCCTTCCCAAAACCTATACCCTAAACCCTAAATAATGATACGGGGTTCCCGAACAGTACTGGGTTCATGTTCCGGCTTTTCGTTTTTTGGATCCTTTATGGGGTCAGGGAACTGGCCACTGGCTTGCAGAGTTAGATGCCTGTCTTCCCGGGGAAGGTCGTGAAAAGTGTGGTGCCTTGAGCTTTTAGAAGTTTAGGGTCTTCAGGGACCGTAAATTGGAGCCCACAGGGGGGACTTGGAAACTGCCCCCACCCATGAACAGCTGGATAATGTTGAATTATAAACCTACCCGCTGCGATGATAGAGAGGCTGTATATTCCTGTTGGCTTCGACGCCAGACACTCGAAATCCGTGAATAATATGACCCCTATTGTAGACAGTTATAGTCACCCTTAACTAGATAGAATATGGCTTTGGGTAGATCATAGTAAGATCCCCATATACCCACATTCTATCTACTTAAGGGGGACTATAATGAGTGGGGGCGGACCCAAAGCGGAACCATGGTTGGGAGCAAGTTCCATCTGAAGAAGTTTGTTAGCAGGGGCCCAATCGCTGTTAAGCATCTCATCCACGTGTAGCATTTTATGGGGAAGGTCCTGGAAAATCCAGAGCAATTACGCGAGCTCTCCGATGTCACGCTTATGCTGGCACCTTGCCTGTTTTTGAGTTTCTGACGGGCTGGTTTTTGTCCCAACAAATTATGACCCTATAGTGAACATATGGCTACAAGAAGGTCCTAGTGCGGAGGTAAGTCTTACCAAAAAAAACCTTATCATCGAAACATATATTTCCACTTCCTGGGCCCATTTACATCCTGCTGTAGGGCCCTGAAGCTGCACCAATCCCCCCCCCCATTTCAATACTCCCCGCACCCCCTTCATAACGAACCACCGCCATGTAGTACCATTACATCTTGTGGGGAATAGTTGTTAGTAAGAGGGGGTGACTGGGCTTAAAATAAGGGGAAGGGATTCCTAGGGAATGGCGGAGAATCACATGGACACAAAAATGGACAATGAAATGGAAACTGCGACTATATTGGGGCATCTACTTTACATGCTTCCTGGACATTTCCAACCCTAAACCCTAAGCTCTCAACTTCAGTCTCCATCCTTCGGTAAGGAGCCTGCGAACGCAGAGCCTGAGGAGCTTTTCCTTGGATGTGGAGATGATGACTGGACTGATCGTGGGGGTGGGATGTGCGAGCTTCTCAATATATCACTTGGAGGTTCATGGTACTTAGCAACTAGTCGTAACTGGGCTTATAACCCCAATTAGAATTGGGGAAAACTACATGAGTCCAGTTCGGTTATGAGGGTTATGTTTACCAGACCAGTTATAAGTAGCTAGTAAGTGGAATGAACGTCAAGTAGGGTTCAGAGTTCAGGGGCTGTATTTCGAGAGTTGATGCAACATGCGAGAGGCTGTCGAAGCGTCCTCACTCATGCATTGCATTCCCACATGCAGAAATTGACAGGTGAGGGGGAGCGAGTTCTTAACATTTATGTGGCGCGTCTGCGGCAACGGTGGTTGAAATGATGACGCTGCGGATGGAAATATTGGACCACCCTATTGAGCCCCCAATGATGGCAACTACAGTACTTTAAGTAACAGAGATAACAACTTGACAAGATAGTATAGTGATAGTGGTCGAATCGTTGCTACTACTGCTACTTCCACTGCTACTGCTACTGCTACTGCTACTGCTACTGCTACTGCTGCTGCCACTTCTATTCCTCCAACTATAAGGAGACCTTCCTACTAGATCAGTCGCGATAGCAGCAGCAATCAGCAGCAGCAGCAGCAGCAGCAGCAGCAGCAGCAGCAGTCGCGGTCGTCAGCCGCCACGCGCCACTGCCACCCCGCTGCTGCCGCCAACACCACCACCACCACCGCCGGCGCCGCCGCCGCCATATGTTGTAAAAATGATAAACGACAGTTTTTGAAGCTAATGGGCAAACAGAGGACCAGCCCGATATGTGATGGTAGCCCTAACACTAGTCACTAGTAACTAGTTGAAGGTATGAGCGCGCTTGTGCTCATAAGAGCTCCGAAGCACGCATCTTTCTTTTTTTGAAAAAGGGTCACCTTCCTGCAGCCCTAGGCTCAAGGATTCAGAGTATGGTACCATTACTTTTGAGAGACCCTTGCACCCAAACGGTCCATGGACCATTGTAGCTCTTTCGTAACACTGAAGCTTGGAACTTCATGAAGGACTTCGCTGGTCGTGCCCATCAACAACGCGCAGTTCGTGTTCTCAACCGATGGAGATGGAAGAGCTTCGCTCGCAGAAGATTTGTGTTTGGTGACGGGCTTTCTAAATGTGCAAGGACCCAGATGGCAGGAATCCATGTTCCACATGATGTTGTTTCAGTGGCTTGACCTATAAGATCCATCATCTGGGCACCAGGATGTCTACTGCATGAGGATATAGTTGGGTTCCTGGTGTGACACTTTGATGCACAACCTCACAAGAGTATGACATATCTGCTTCCCATACTCAGGGGTAGGTTTGAAAATGTGCTCATTTTTTTTGCCCTCAATCCGTATGTAATCCTCATAAACTAAATGGCCCCGAACCTACCCTTGTACTGTCCGGGTTGTGAAAAAACTCTTCAGCTCAGGCGATGATCCGGAACTGCGGTGGGGCGTGTTTGCAGCGGCTTGGCAGGATATTGAGTTTAGGGTCTGACAGGTCCGCATGAGTACGTGTGTGTGAGAGAGAGAGGGTTTAGGGCAGGGGTCATGGAGAGCAAGGGGGAGATGTAAGGGAGCCGGCTGTAGCGGGCTTTTTCACTCAAATAAGGTTTAAGGAGTGGTAAGATAAGACCTAAACAAAAGGCATGTATTTTGTGATCCCCCCCCCAACCCACTGGCTCCCGCCGTCGCATATGGCCTACCAGATTCTCCGGTCAAACTTGTTGGAGGCTCACAGGATTTGGATTCTGGTGTTTTTTAGTGTATACTGAGGTCCCTGATTCTCGGCAACTCCTGCACCGAAATTATGTCCCATGTTATCAAATGGATGCGGAACTCCTTGTGCTTCACTGCTTGTACGTCTACGGCTAGCATCAGGATGTCATGTTGTTGGTTAGTACTGGCTTTCGGCATCCCTCATTCCAAGGCCAGACTTATTAGATGCCGACCGTAGTCACCAAGCAAGCCCAACATGCCTCCTGCATTATCCCTCCAGAATTCCAGGTTGTCACGTCAGCTGATGATCCGGAGCCCTCTGCAACGCAGATCGAGGATAGGAAGGGCATTTGATCCAATGCCGATGCCCACAGCGTGGACTGGAGTAGTTCCCGTAGACGATATGCTTCGTTTTGGCAGCGTCGGGGTGGCTGGCAAAGACCGCGCGTGACATTCTGAACTTGCACCTTTCGCAGACTTTCGCAAGTCATTGATCTCTCGGTTAACTCCCACATGGAACAAACGGCTCGATAAAAACCTTATACTGGATGCCTGCTATACAATCCCTCATTGCGACAGGAGTTGATGGAAGCCTATACTTCCGCTTCGGCACGGATCATTGGGAGCAACCTAGCGCAGGTCTCCATCGAACCTGAGGACGTTGCCTTCACACTATGGTAGGCTCTCAGCAAGACCTTAGGGGTACATAGGGATTTGGAGGCTATAAGGTTTGGAGGAATCCCTCTGCAAGGGTAGTATGGTGCTGGCCTGTGGCCGAACGGGCGTGGATCCGCTTTGGTATAGCTGGGGTCACCAATGCCTTCTTCGTATTGAACATGATTGGGTTGCTGTTAGGAACTTAAATAAAGTTACCATAATGGGCATATATAGTAAATAATAGGGTTTCCCCAATATAGTAACTTAATTTAAGTTCCCTAACAGCAACCCATATGAGAGGAAGAGCAAGCTCATACCATCCTCGCTTCAATGCGATTGCAATACCAATCACAATGGAGCCAACGACTGTCACATGTTTCCTATAGACTTATGGAGTCCTTATTCTAGGGGTTGGTTACCATAGCGATTTGCTTACAGAGCACCTCTCGTAGGCGTTGGGGATACCATAGAAATTTGTTACGACAATTTGCCAAGACACAGTTATTATGATGGGTATTGCCTGCATCAGACGCAATGTATTTAGCCAGCCAAACAAACTGCTGCACAATTTGCTAGGCCAGAACACGCCCCCATAATGAAACTTCGTACATTGCTATACGAAAAATATATCAGCTGCTGTGAAAATTAGGCTTATTCAAGGGCCCATAACAGTGGACATAGGGGTCCCTCTTGTAGTTTCGTATAGTCACTTAGTAAGGGACACGTGTAAGAAAGATTAACAAGACTGTAGAGACTGTAGCTAATACAGCATGCAATGGACATTCGCTCGTTCTGGGGGTGACAGTTGATTGCAGGTGGGAGGCCCAGGTTCTTTGAGCGTATGAGCCGCGATATGAATTTTGTACCTGTGGAGAAGCAGTTCTATAGTCTCATCCAGGAAGCCCTGAGCTTGCTTGGAGAGGCCTCCTCATGTTGACCACCGCAACTAATGCTCCAATCTCTCCCTAAGAATTCACCTTTGCCCTTGGCCACGAAATGGCAGCCCATGCCAATTAAACTTTAGGGTTCTGATATTATGCTTGCTGTCTTACCGGGTCTTCGAGTAGCCAGTACCTTCATGGGGGTCTTCGAGAGAAGAGCCTTATCGTATCGGTGCCGACGAGGATGGCGTTCTAAATTCGTCTCTGAGCACGTGGCTTGTCGGGTTGGGGTGTTCGCCAGCGTGAATTCCAAATGGAGGGGGCAACGACACCGAGCCCCCTGATATGAAGGGCGCTGCATTGCATGTGGCACCTAGTCGCTCACTCACTCCTCACCTACTCACTCAGTAGATATACGTACAACATCCCCTCTTACATATTCATGTACACATATATATATGTGTGTGTGCGTGCATACATACGCACACAAAAATAAACATACATATACATATATGCATATGTATTGGCATATATACATACGTACGTACGTACGTACGTACGTACATACATACATACATACATACATACACATATCTTTACATGCGCTATACCCCTAGCCGGACTGACAGGACTGGGATGAAGCCCGCCTCAAGGCGTTATGTGCCCGCCATGGGTGGGAGTTCGAGTGGATGACGGAGGCCGGCACGGGGAAGCATCTCGTCCTTCTAGGGGCACTACTCTGGGTTGCTGTTAAGGAAGTCAAGTGTTTAGGGTTAAGGGGTTTAGGGTACGAATCTGGGTTGCTGTTCAGGCAGTAAATGAAGTTGCTATAACGAGGAAACCCTATTACTTACCTAGGTGCTCATAAAAGGGTAACTTGAGTTAAGTGCCTCAACAGCAACACAGTAATTCTGGTAAATTTGACGACCTTCGGCAACCTCACATCAACAGTTCATCCAGAAAGTTGTCCCGCAGTAGCTGACGTTGAGGTTCCAAAATTGATGCCAACTTGGCAAAGTGCAAGTCAAGTTCATACGAATATTACTCATAATGGTAGTGATAGTAGTAATAGTGATAGCCGGAATTAATAATCATCATAGTACAGAACTCTTTCTTCTGGAAAGTCATTCGCACGCCCCCCTGCGCGACAGGATGGTGAGAGAAGGCGGCGCATAGAAGGTGCAGAGAGAGCCAGGCGGGACTCATCGGCAAGTGGGTTTAAGATTTAACTGCTTAGATAACTGAATTTTCAACTTTGGTCTTTCCTGTTTTTGAAGGTTGTTCGAGGTATTGTATGCCATGATTGTACAGGGAATCTGGGATCATAATATTGGTAATTCTAAGATTAGTTTAGTTTTTAGCGGGGCAATGCAGTCCCCAATAGACAATAAGATGATATCTTCCTCTTGGGTATGGTATTCTTATGAGAAGGACGTAATCTCACTGAACTTTGCTTATCTTAATTTCGACACCGAATAAGCACTGCTCAATGTGGACGGCTCTGTTCTGCGCATCATTGTGGACCCTCGGCGAGGTTCGCTTGAAGGTGGATGGCATGAGCAAAAGTCTAAACTCCTTGAAGGGGCTTTTATCTGGAATTATATAGGGGAATACTATATGGGATATTAAGGGGGATTCTCGGAATTTTGATTATACCTCGCATGATATTAGGACAGGCCCGCACGGGTTCTTTTCTAGATGTTCATAGGCCTCAATGGCATATCGGGCCCTTATCAGGTACTCTTTAGGTGGGCCCCCACCCTGTCATAGTGGGATAATAGGAAGATAAGAGGACCCTAATATGATCCCCATTAGTCCGTCTAGTCACTATTACTGGGTGGGGGGGTCCACCCCCTAAACCCTAAACCCTTATCAACTCCATTTTCAGACCGCCGCAACTTGTTGTAGCGCATAGTGGGAGCCAGACTTTGAAAACTCTCCAGATGCAGGACTATTGCTGGCCCGCAGTGCGACAGTTTGAAACCTTATATAGTCCCTACATATAATCCCCATATATATATATATATATGTAAAGAGCCCCTACGTTGCCATCCATATGTGTAACCGCTATAGTGTGTCCCTCTGCTTAATCCCTACATAACCCTCTTCAATCTTTGTATCACCGTTTAAAGTTTATGGGTATCAAGGAACTGCAAGGCGCAGCAGGGCGACCTGAGGGAACTAGGGGCACAGAAGTAGGTGCAGGTCATGGATTTAGGGTTTATTTCAGTAGCAGTGGAAGAACCAGGAATCCCCAACTACGCTGAAACAGGGTATATGTAAGTTCTATTTGTGGCTATTGGGGCTCATAGCGGGTACTTTGGGGGTCTGGGAAGAACTTGTGTGCTTTTTTTCCAGCTCCTGCCTCTTTGCACAAGACTTCCAGCCCCTAATGACTCACATCAGCGCTGCAGTTATCAGATGTGCTTACCGACATGGGAGTTGTTGACAATTCCTCCTACAGCTTTTGGGCGGAACCGTTATAATTCCCCGATACGCCCTACATATCCTCAGGGTCCTCTGGGCCCTGCCTTCTCTGAAATCCCAAAGCCATATATACATATGTAGATATATATATATGTATGCATATATACTTACATACGCACATACAATGTATGCCCCATAGCCCTTTTAAGCAGACCTGCTGCTACGCTGGCAGCGCTATGTTGAGAAAACCATTATCCGCAGATATCTATACATACATATGTATATGTATATATATATACACAACATGTCCATATGTACATACAAACTTACATACAGTACATAAATACATGCGTACCTTTCCTTTACACCTACGGGTACCCTAAACCCAACACCCTCAATCTTCTACATCCTCCTTTTTCGGCCAGGCAAGCTGTAGCCGTTCCCGAAAAGACCGGCCAGGCGGAGAAGGCCATGGCCCGAGGTAATAGGGTTTAGGGTTTAGGGGGGTCATTCCCTACAGGTTGACACCCTACCCAGTGATAAGAACTATAAGGGATAATGGTCATGATATTGGAGTCTTCTTATATTCCTATTATACCACTATTACAGGGTAGGGGGTCCAGGTGTCCTGAGGTTTAGGGCAGGCTTTAGGGTTTAGGGAGTATAGGCTTTATGCACCACTAAGAATCCCTAAGCAGGATTTTTTGGGGGGTACATCCTATATCTACGGTTCAGGGTTAGGTAGTGCAAGATTTCCTCCATCCACAATTCCCTAAAAGTGTCCTGACAGTTTGTTTGTTCCACAAAATGAGGCTAAGACAATTTTTGGGGAGGATTCCGGGGCAGATTCCGTCCCTTCTGCAACTACAAGCACCTGCGGGGTTTGCATAATCCGTATATAGGGATGAGTATGTTCAGGTTTAAGGGTTTAGGAATGTTCTGGGGCCGTTGTCTTTGCAAAATGCGGTTACCTTACGTTTAGGTTCTGGGAGCTTTGTATAGTGTAGTAGCAGTTAGGGTTCTGCATTTCGAAGTCATGGGCCCAGTCCCAGATGCTGAAGACATCAGGGAGCAACTGGCTTCAAATTGGTTTGCCACCCCCTGTTCACGCACTCCAGAATGGCTGTACGTAACTTCCAGCGACTTGTTCCTGATACCATCTGTGCTTGATGCAGTCCCCAGCGTGGTGGCGCTTGGATCAGTCAGTGGCCCGGGCCTTCTCCTTCAACGAGCAGCGCCAGCTGAAACTAGAAGCAATTTCAGACAAGATCTGCTTTGGGGTTTTTCGTTTGGTAAGCCCCAACGCTTACAGAGGAATAGGATTGTTTTGGGGGATGTGTGGCGGACAGTCCCCGAAAAAGCCGAACAAACGCAGCTTTTGATGTAGGAGCGACCATGTCGACATTGCCAGCCTGCTCGAGTAAACAAAAGAAAGAGCCTGATAATGTGCCTGCTTACTAACACGAACTACTGCTCGGATCTTTAGAAGTTCTTCCCAGTATGCAGAGGAACGTCAAGATGGGGGGATGAAGGCTTACAACCACGTGGAACAACTGGGTATGCAACCAGATTATGATCCCAGCGTAAGTTTTGGTTTAGGATCAAAGGAACTACCTTTGGACCATCGCCCGTGCCGATTGAATGCGTTTGTCAAAGCCAGGTGACTTTCTTTACCTCCCGTTGTTCCCGGTTTCAATTTCATTTTCAATTGCATCCTCCCTTGTCTATATCACCCCAATATACGATATAGTTGTTTCCATCTTCTTTTCCATTATGCCTATATAACCCCTGTATAATCCACATATAATACAGTAGTTTTCATTTTCTTTTCCATTATCCTTATCACCCTATATAACCCGAATATACCATTGTCCCTATAAGTGTCTTCTAGAAGGACTTACAAGCTGGTAACCCTCAATTTTGAGACCCCACTATTTGCCACAAACCCTTGCATAGTCTAGAAAGGGAGTATAACAAGAATCTACGCAGGATTTCTGTTATTTGACAAAGGCCTCATAGGGGTAATGGAAAAGAAAAAGATATGATCCTGGTTCTTGCTTTCCATGATGTTACTGATGTTTTTCTTGCCATTGCTACCACTATCGTCATCCTGTAAGCCGCACATATGATTTTGAGAGTTCCGCATCGCTCAGGAAGCGCAAGATCCAACCTCCACCGCAGATAAAATCCAAGACGCTCGGTTCAAACATGCTTCGGCTTGCGAGGCTGAGTCCTTCCCCATTGCATGCTTCTCAGTGGCCCGAAAATGTGTGGGGAGGAGGGGGGGGCGGGGGGAGGGGTGCATGTTCAACATCTGCGGGTTCGGGGTGCAATTCGTATTACGTGGATTGGTGTATTGCCAAGGCCTGGACGGATCAGATGTCATGACAATGTCTGTTGTTGAAGTTGTCTACTGGTCTGCTGGCTGCGGCATGCCCAAGGTCAGGATTATGAATAGTACTAGTACTGGTACTAGTAATAGTACTAGTACTAGTACTAGTAGTAGTAGTAGTAGTAGTAGTACTAGTACTACTGGTACTCGTCATCGTCGTCGTTCTTCGAGGAGGAGGTGAAGGCCGTTTGCTCTTGCTTCTGCTGCCTGTGTTGCTGCTGCTACTAGTACTTTACATCCCATCTTTCAGTTTTCGCTAGACTCCCAGGTTTCGCCAGAGCCCCGGAACTGAAACACTTGCAGAGGAATGGATGAGACGACTCGTGGCGGCTTTGCAATGGCCCCGCACAGCAGAGGCAGGTTTTCAGGACGCCTGCACCTTGTCACTTCGAACGAAGTGCCTTATCCGAGCGTATCATCAGCATGTAACCTCTTAGCTTGTATTATATTACTCCTTTCGCTGAAGGTAGCTGGTCTGACGGTTTTACTGCAAGAAGGGCTAGGTCAGGTAGGATCAGGCAGCTGCTCAGATACACTCGCTACTTTCACCCATTCCTGCCTGCGAATGACACGAGTTGGTTGGCAGTGAGGCAAAGGTCAGGGTACGGTGGCGGCAGCAGGACTGCTTGCCCGCCACAAGGATCCGACCCAGCTGTTTTAATCGCTTCTCAGTTCAGGCTAGGAAAGTCGATGTCGTGACGACTCCGGCCTGCTAGCTACAAAACGGAGTACATAGCTGGCATAGCATCAAAGCTCCCCATGGAAGCGTATCCAAAGTGGCACGAACAAGGCGCACCTGCTGTGAGATGCTGTGCACACCGCCCAATATGGGAGTTTCCAACAATTTTGGGGACAAAGTTTTGGGGGCTCTGCATGATCAGGATTATGGTATTTTGGGGTCCTTTATTCAGGAAAGTGCCATTCGTGTCAGCAATCTCCATACACCCGGAGATGGTTGCCTAGTCGCTCAGGGTGTTTACAATCAGTTATATAGGTGACTCAGCAGACAAATTTGTCGTTGTACAAAACCCTAAAGCCTTGACGGCGTAAAGAATCACTTATGTTACAGTATTTCCATTATCCCCATTATAACCCCCATATTCTACCCCTAAACAATAGTTTCCATTTTCTTTTCCATTACCCCTATATAAACCCCAATATTAAACCATATATAACCCATTATGGTAGTTTCCATTTTCTTTTCCATTACCCCTATATCAACCCAATATATACCCTATTATACTATAGTAGTTTCCAATAGTACAGGCAGGCTTGGAACATTCAAAGCTAGTCGAGTAGCTGAAGGCTCCCTTGCGGGCGGGGCGGGCGAGCAAAGAGCTTTTGTTTCCCTACCTCAGGTGGACCCCCCCCTTTCCTCGTCCTGTAATAGTGAGAGAACAATAAGGATTATATTCGGGTCCTATTATAGTCCTATTATACCGCTGTTGCAGGGTGAGGGGGGTCCTCCTAAACCCTACCATTGAAATCGTGCCTTGCAACACGCGGTTTAGGGTTTAGGGTTGCAAAAGGGTCCATGTATTCTATTATGGCATCTTTCCTCAGGTGACTGACTGCTCATGGGACAACGTCCGTGCCTTTTGGCCCAAACGAGCTGAAATTCATGATAAATCACACACGGGGTAGGCGGTAGGAATGGAGACGGTAGGTCATACCTTATGTCCTTCGAGCGTTGTTATTTTTAGAATTCATACAATATTTTTGTACATCATATCTATATTGTATAAACCATAATACACTATATTTAACATATAACATGTTATGTATAACATAATCTATAAACACATATATAAATATGTATATACACAGTCTATACATGTGTTCACTCTATATATATATACATTTACACGTATATTTATTGCAACTTAATAGAACATATCATAGTTTCACATATCGCTAGTGTTTCAAAATCTGCCTACCTCCATTCCAAATAAGGGCACATACCTCAAAACCATAGCACGCCGCAAGGTTTCCAGTGGCAAGGTTCGCAGCAACTCGCTGACCCCTAAACCACTAGACCTTGAGATGGTGTGGCCCATGCTGATGAACAACACCCCAGTTCCAAGATGTAGCTCAACAGAATTTCCCCAACACAATCCTGAGTCCTTAGGCCTTAGGCCCCCACCCAACCCCTGAAGAAGCCTATACCCTGAAACTTAATTTTCAGCCGCTTAATGGAGTTTCTCCGAAACCCTAAACCCTAAACTCAACCCGAAGCCCTAAACCCTAAACCCAAGACCACCACCCTAGGATCTGAACCTTGAGAACTACGAGATTTTTGAAGCTTCCCGAAACCCTATGAACCCATATGTTTAAAGGGGGTTATATAGGGGATTACATAGGGTTTTGGGATTAGGGTTTAGGGTTTAGGGTCTAAACTCCTTAAAAGGGGGTTATGTAGCGGATTTTATAGGAGATTAGTATAGGGGTTATTAAGGGGGATACACCTCTACCTGCACCCAAAAAGTATGTAGCATCATGGTCTTTTGAGCTATCCTTAGGGTATTGGGGTATTATTTACCTACTTTCTAGGTCCAGGTGGGAGAGGTTAGCTTAGGGTCATCCGATCTATCCCCCCCTCTGTTTACGGACTTTGCTTGTCGTTGTTACTTCCTCCCCTTCTTTAGTGCTGCCTTGGAATATGTAGTAAACGTGCCAGTGAAACATAGACCTGAAAGCAATGCGTGATTGCCAATCTTCACACAAGAATGTAAAACGTGGATTTGGGCTTCCCCAACTCATACAAGAAGGACCCTGTAGCTGTCACATGACGCTGATAGGGTCCTTACTGTAGTTGGGATTCCCAAAATCCCCTTGCTAGAGCTCCTAAACCCAAAACCCTAAACCCCTAAACCCTTAAGCCCTTAAGCCCCTCAACTCCTAAGCCCTAAACCCCTAAACCCTAAACCTTAGAATGGGCTAGTTGAATCTGAGCCCATGGCCAGCAGGGAGGAAGCCCTGGAGCAGGGTCTTGATGCGCCACTGCTGGAACGTCCCGAGTATCGGCCCGGCTACAGGTGCGGTTTAGGGTAAAGGGTTTAGGGATTAGGGTGCAGGGTTTAGGGTAAAGGGTTTAGGGTGTAGGGTGTAGGGTAAAGGGTTTGGGGTGTAGGGTGTAGGGTAAAGGGTTTGGGGTGTAGGGTTTGGGGTGTAGGGTAAAGGGTTTAGGGTGTAGAGTTTAGGGGTTTAGGGTTTAAACCCTCCCCTCTAATTTGAACCCCCGCCAATATTCAATGCGCCCTATGTACCATAATATATCACAAGGGGGGTTATTTAATGTAAGGGCGGCGGGGAGGTTTGATATTAGGGGCAGGGGATTGTTTGGAGCTTCATGGGATATGGCAGCTTAATATGGGCCAGTACCCCTATGTAGAATTGGGGTAACCTGCATAGTCCACTTAGGAGGATTTTACGTAGGGATATAAGCACGGCTACAAGTAGTTACTAAGTTTCATGAATCTTCACGTACGTGTTTACGGCTTAGGGGGGGTCTAAAGACGAAAGATTTTGGGACTAACGATGGGTTCAAGGCTTGTAGGTGTAGCATTTCGTGTTTGCCCCAGCTCCGCGTGCTTAGGATTAAAGATTAGACGGAAGATGCAGGGCCATGCCAGGTAGGGAAACCCCTAAGTTATCGCTGGGTAATATCCTCTAGTCTCTGCTTCTTCTTCTTCTTCTGATTATTGCTGCTACGATTACTACCACCACCTTCACTATTTGGACCCCAACAGTAGGTAAAATAACAGCACCAAACCCCTAAAGATAGCCCAAAAGACAATTATTCTGCATCCTTTGGGGTTCAGGTGCTACTCGTATCTTGTAGTCTGCCTACCTACGGGGCATGTCACACCTCCACCGAGCCCCCACGATGAAGCAAAGCTTCCAAGTCACTGATATGGGGTTTCCCCTGTGGGTCCCTGTAATAGGGGTCCCTAAACCCTAGCCCTAAACCCTACCTTAAAAGGGAATTGTAGGGATTACATAGGGGTAGATGCTGTTTAGGGTTTTCCAAAACTTTGGGCTCCCTATAATAAAGATCATACTTGTTTGGGGTCCTTGATTTGGGTAAGTACCATATGCGCCAGACATGCTGTAGGTTGTCAGCAACGGTTCGATACAAAATGAACCTGTTACGCCCGTAACATGATCCCTACATGGCCTGTTACTGGGTGGGGTCAGTACCAAACATGCAGGCGCTCTGAGCGTCAGGAGTTCGGCACGATTAGCCAGGGCCCAAGGGGTCCGCCCCGCAGCAGCGTCGCTTGGCCGAGATTGGGGGTTTTCTGTCAAAAGGGACTTCTAGTTAGCCAACCCCTAAAATGAGTACTTCATTACAGTCATGTGATACTTATTACAGCGTCCGTCTCATGGTTTTTCATTTAAGGCCCATGGACCTCCATACCCCCTCAGGTCAGGCATGAGGCTTCCTTGAACCATCTGAAGCACCCTGTCCTGACTCGTGTAAAAACATCTATACTCCGGTGTATATATATATATATATCTATACGTATACATGTAGACCCCGGCAAAATACGAGTCCGTATTTTTGGGACGCCAAAGGGGACCCAACTGTTTTTGGAAAACCATATTTATAACTATCCATGAACTTCCTAAGCCCCAAGCTTCAAGCAAGGAAGGGACTACCTATTTTTGGAAAATCCCCATGTATAACTACCCATGAAATTCCCAAGCCCCAACCTTCAATCAAGGTGGTAAGCCGGGTCGGCCGGGTAGCTGCAGAGCTCTTCTCTCCACCCGTGCGCCCAACGACCAGCAAAGACTCGGACAGATTCTTGGCGTACCTAGTTTTAGGGTTTAGGGTTCATATTTTTGTTTGCGCAAAGGACAGCAAAGACCTTAGCAACAGCAGGAAAGATTGGACCACAGCTTGTTGGAGAAAGGAGATGTAGTATAAGTCACAGTTGCTAAGTTCACCTTCTCCAGTATAGTCCAAATGGAGTATTCAAATTCTATCTACCTAAAGGTGGATTATAGGTTCTCTTGGGATCAATCCAAAAACTACAGCTGCCGGACAGGGTAGGAACTTTCTCCGCAGCGTTGTGGGTCCTGGTCTTTCTTCACGAGAACGCATCATTGAGGTCTGTTCCTAGGTGGCTTAGGGTTTGGGTTCAGGGTTTAGGGTTTTAGGGTTATGGAAAAAGGGTTTAGGCTTCAGACTTTAAGGTTTAGGGTTTACAGTTGATTTCTTGTGTTCCTTCCTGTCTCGATCCACACAATCACAGCATAAACTAGAGGTGTCAAGCCATGGCAGGTACGGCACAGGCCTCAAAGGGCAT